GTGTCACTAGGGTTAATGGTTCTGTTCTCGAAAATCCAGAGGTTCCTAGAGGACCAAAGAGACCACACTATCCAAGGGAAGAGATTTATTGAGATTCCCAGTGGTGGCAAATTAATGCGGAGGCGTGAGTTCTGTAGTTCCAGTCCGAAAGAAGTGACTTCCATAACATCTAGGTGAGAGGACAAAGGGACAAGGTTCCAAACCTGTTCTGCAAAGACGCAATGGAAGAAGAGGTGGAGTGTAGTTTCCGGTGCCCCGCACCTGATGCAGTTGGTATTAGTTAAAACCCCTCTTCTCTGTAGGTTGTTGCCTGTGGGAATAGCGTCCTAATAGCGTCCTGGAGTACTTTCCATAAGAAGAGTTGAATCTTAGGGAGGGTAGATATATGCTTGACTTGCATACTTATTTAAATGATTATAAAATCATGTTTATTAGTTTAAAAGCATTAAAAATTGCTAACAAACATTTAACCCAAAAACATACCTATTAACATAACTTCAACAAATACTGACGAAGAGTATATCGTTGGTATTTAAACTTTTCAACATGGTTTTAAACACACAAAATATGCAAAATCACTAAAAATCAGTTTTTAAGCTTTGCACTAGGACTGATCGGATCATTAATAATGTGCTCAGGTCATTAAAAATGTTATTGCGGATCTAATGTGCAAGTTTTCTAAACAGTTCAACGGATTGAATATTGCTGGAATTCAGGAATTGGACAATAGTTACTCGATTTTAGATTTTAACAATATGGTCACTGTTACTAATTCATTGAGAGTGTGAGTAATGTTCTACTTGTATTATAAGATGCATTTTTGTTTGGCTATGGAAAAAAATATGAGGCAGATGATGTCCAATTCAAATCAAAATAGATTTGGCTAACAGAATCAACTAGATTATTACTAGTAGTTTTTGAAAGATCCTTTTAAATGATTATTAGTAACTTAGATGAATTATGTATATGGCAGACTCATCTAAAACGACAATTGGTCAAATACCATAGCAAAGACATTATTAATAGAACAAAGAAAAAAAAACACACCAGTTGGATCTTGTAGCTTTTGAGGTATATATAATAAAATATTTTTAATTTCTGGATATGGTTCGACCTAAAATATATCACTACTTTGAATGGGCTAAATCAGTAACAGAACCACCTTATATAATGCCTTGTATTTGGACATTAATTGTTCTGGCTTTCTGCATGCATGCACAACACACCATAATTTTATATATTGGCAATATGTTTTTTAGTAACTTACTTATAATATACATACATTCAAATGAAGGATATAGGTTATAATAAGATTAGAAGTCACGTGAGTGAAGATACACGACAAGGTAATGTGAAATTACAAAGTCGAACACTTAGGTTATGAATGGGAGGGTCAGGACAAAGGCAGATCAAGCAGTTCTCCCGCAATAGGCAGTTTTCCTGCCTTATGTTTACCATTCACAATTTTCTGTTTGTAAAAGCAGTTCAAGCGGGAGATCTGCATGCAGTTCAATTTTTTTTGTCTTTTAGTAGAAAAAGCAGGAGATCTGCATGCAGATCCCATCCGCTAACATTTGGTGGTGTTGATCTGCCTTTTTTTTTCCTTTTACTAATAAATAGTTTTATTACAAACATTTAACTTTAAAATATATTTATTTGATTTTATAAATAATGTACAATTATTAACTCAAACTATATAGTTCACACTAATATTATTTGTATCATTTTAAAGTTATAAGCATGATGTCTAATCGCCAAAAAACACAATATTTTCCACGAAAAATATAAATTTTTCTACATAAGTGTCAGCAAAAAAATAATTATTTTATATTTTAAAATAATTAATAAATAGAAGAAGTATAAGCATCTAATAAAATTTTTACATATATTTTGGCTGAACATACAACATCTGAAATATTTTGTTTTGATATTTGGTGTAATTTTTATTATTTTAATATATGATATATAATGTGAACATATTTTGTCATTTATAATTTATAATAAATTATTTGATCTGTTTTATCTCCATTTTTATATATAAATATTAACAAAGAATTAAATATTAAGATGTATGTTATTCAAAAATAATTTTGATCAACTAAAACGCTACAAGCATCTTATGAAAAATCCAATAAACATTTAGGCTGATCCTACAACATTTAAATATTTATATTGATATTTGGTATAATTTTATTCTTTTAATATATGATCTATAGTTTTAAACTTATTTTGTCATTCATAATTTATGATAAATTGTTTGATCTGCATCTCTCCTGCTTGATCCGCTTGATCTGCACTTGTCCTGCTTTATCTGCACTTGTCCTGCTTGATCTGCATGAACCGCTTGATCTGCACCGCTTGATCTGCTTTTACCATTCGAAGCCTAAGGGGGTGATTGTTAGGTTTAGTCTTGGGGGTGATTGTTAGGTTTAGTGTTCCGCGAAGCAAAGTGTCAAGTGTGTGTGAGAGATAAGCATCTTTTTGGAAAAGCGGTGTGGTCCTCAATTGAACAAATAAAAATCAATCTCAAGACCGATCAGATTCTCTTTGTTCCCTTCTCGCTCTCTTTCTCTCTCTCTCTGGGTCTCTTGATGTTGTTTAAATCTTTAGTTTTTAAGCCACAAAATCGAATATGGTACTATAAAATATCGAACACATGTGAGTTTAGCCACTTGAAACCAATCCATCCTTCGACTCAAAATTAGTTTGGACTTAGAAAGAACCAACCCGAAACTAATAATGCGATACGGCTTCAAGAAATTTAGTAAGAATCTCCATTGCAAATAATTAAGCGGGAATACAACATTTAATAGGCAAATAATATTGACTATTATATATATGTTTTAAATTTAAAAACCCATAAACCATAATGAAGCCAACAAAAAAAATCATACAAAATTTTCAAGTATTGAGATTACCCTTTTGATATGAACCAACAAAAAAAATCATACAAAATTTTCAAGTATTGAGATTACCTTTTTGATATAAATGGTTTTTCTTTCTCAGATCAAACACAGCTGTTTTGCTTCTTGTAAAACTATACTCCCTCCGTTCCTGAAAGATACATATTGTAGAAAAAAAAATTGTTTCTAAAAGATCCATTTTTTACATTTTCAATGTATGTTTTATTAAATAATTGTAAACTTCAAAAAAAATAATTGTACTAATTAATTTTTGATTGGTTTAAAATTATGGAAAGAAGATAAATACAAAAAATTATGCAAATTTATTGTGTTTTATTAAAAAGTGTGAAAAAACTAGAATATGAATCTTTTAGGAACAGAGGAATTATTATTCTATTTGATACAAAAATACATTCGGCAAAAGAAAAACAATATATAGTTCTGTTCTTGGAGATAACGCAACTTCTTTATTTGATCCAAAATAGATAAAAGAAAAAGAAGATAAAGGGTAAAAGAAAATAAGAGCTTAGAGCTAGTGAATGTACTCATTTGATGGGTTCATTCTCTTTGTACCTTTTTAAATTTGAGTTGGAGATTGCTTCTTTGACTAATCAATAGAATCTATATATATATATCTCGCCAAGCTAAAGAAAGATCACAATGTTGTTGCTTTTAAAATCATTACAAAGTATCTCACTTGGGTCACCTTTACCTTTATCCCTTTATATTTCACTTCTAGCTTGACCATTTGCTAATTTTATTCCTTAGTTCCTTCAAAGCACCAACTTGACGATCAAAATATCATGCATTGGCCACAATCGTGACAATGATAATGTTCAATTGCACTCAAAAGTTTTCAACCACTAACGTATGGTGAATTGTTAAGTTTTGAAACCAACTGGTAGTAAATTTTTGTTCTTTGCAAAATCTCCAACAAGTCTTTATTTGGCTTAGTAATTCGTATATGAATTTGAGTTTATTTTTTGTGAACTACTCATTTAATTAAGTTAAGTTTTGGTTAATAAAAAATGTTTTAGGAGAACAATTCTATTTAATCATATATGATTTACATGGAAAAAAACAATACACAGACGAGTTTTATAGATGATATCCCTGTACAACTGGATAACGAATTCTTGACACTAGATGCAAAAAGGCGTTTTTGAACGACACAAACATTAGTCTTATCACACAATAGATTGCCCTATAGCATCATAACTTCGTGGGGTGAACGTTATCACCATTATAACATAGTATAGGAATATGGAGACTCATGAAAAAATGAGGGTATCTCAGGCCAACTTGGTGAAGCAAGCGATGACGTGTGGAAGAAGGGGGCTTGGATATTCGGGTTCGGAGGATGATAGTGATCGGAGAGAGACCAGATCCTTAGAAGACCGTGACATCCCCCAGTCACGTGGTCCTCTTTTGACTACATTCTCTGATCTCTCCCACTTTAACTGCAGATTGAACTTGTCATTATTAGTACTTACTTTCGATTTAATTATTAACACTCTCTTTTTAATTCATTACAACACTGTAGTTTGCTTAGCAGTGTTAAACAACATTTCGTCCGTACAAAAAGTATAGTTTTAGAGTGATAACTAATTAAGTATTTCTGCTACATTATATAAAAGACTGAAGCATTTCGCTGGTAAGAGCATGTTATGTATATGTTTTGTAGAGCAAAATCGCTTAGGAATACATTATAATAGTAATACAAATATTAAAGTATAAATTCACTTTAGCTAAACAATATGAATATAATAGTAGAACAACTAATTTGCTAAAAAAATATATTTGTGACAAATTAATAATAATCAATAAATTATTCGAGTTATTATTTGGATCACCAATAAAAAAATGATATGGAGTACTCAACAAAAGCCTCTTAGAACTGAATCAACGACCCAACACATATTCGCATCTTTTTAGACAAATTAAAGGAGCAAACACATGTAAATCGAACCTAAAAGAGTAGCAATATGGATTCAGTCATACATTACATATATATGACTGGGACCAAAGTTTGCCCTTTTTGTCGAGTTCCCAAAGCTCTATAAATAGTAAATACTCTCCTGTCTCCACTTCACAATAGCAACGTGTATTTCTTTGTTTTTAGCTGACTCCTCTTACACCGTTTCCTAATAACTACCAAACAAATCAAACACAACACAAACACACAATTCTTGTTCTTCTATCTCTCAAAACACGATTTACAATTAGGGTTTCCAATATCAAATAAATATACTAACGTTTAGTGATGGGTTTCTCAATGTTCTTCTCGTCCGAAAACGAGGTCGTCCACCACTCCTCTCCTTATGCTTCTGTTGACTGTACTCTCTCACTTGGAACTCCCTCCACTCGTCTCTACAACGACGACGATGACCGTAGACTCTCTTCCCATACATCAAACACATTAGGCTGGGACTTCTTGCACGGTGCCAAGAAAGGCTGTGGCCGTGGCGACGGCGGAAATAACCTCCTCCCTCGCCGTTGCGCTAACTGCGATACCACTACTACTCCTCTTTGGAGAAATGGTCCAAGAGGTCCCAAGGTACATATATAATATCATAACAAATAGTTTTACTTTTAGTCATGTTTCCAACATCGAAAACTAGGATTGGTAACTTTCGTAACAAATATTTAACATGTACCCAAATAATAGTCGTATAAAACCAAATACTATAAAGTCCAGTTAGGTTTTATATTACACTCATTTTTTACTTGATATGAAAAATTATTGTTATCAATAGTAAGTTTATGATTTTTAATTTGTTCAGTCATTATGTAACGCGTGTGGGATCCGATTCAAGAAGGAAGAGAGACGTGCGTCCACCACGGGAGCGGCCTCGACTTCCGGAGGAGTATCAACGGCGGCTGGAGCTCTGACTTCGGATCATCACGGAGGTGTAGATTATTATCACAATAACAACTATCATTATGCTTCATCGTCGCCTTGGATTCACCACCAACAGCATAATACGCAGAGAGTCCCTTATTACTCTCCGGCAAATAACGAATATTCGTTTGGTCATGATGTCAGAGAGGATAATCATGACGTCACAGCCGACCCGTTCTTGTCTTGGAGGCTTAACGTCGCCGACCGGACCAGCCTTGTCCACGATTTTACGATGTGATGAATATTATCGTTTCATATATGTTCGTCTAAAAAGGGTCATAGCCTTGGATACCATTTAGCATAAAAGACTAAAGTCTTAGCCTTGTCCAAATTCTTTAATTTTACTTAAGTTACATATATATTTGAATGTTTTTTTTTCTCTTTTTGGTTCTTTGTGTAAGTGTTTTTTAATTTAAATTTTCTTATGAAGCCACTTGTGTTACTTTTCATGACTTTGTGAATGTTCTCTCGGGAAGCGAACTAATCAACCTTTTCAGGATGTGTATCCTAATTTGACCATGACTTTTGATCAGGATGTGCTTACACAGCAACTAATTTTAAATACACATTTGAAATATTTTGTGAAAACAGAATTATATATATATATATATATAATTTTACTAAGAAATAAGTTTTCCCCTGCTGTATAAGGTTTTGGATCCGCCCCTGCTATGAAGCTGAAAATTATTACATGACTTCGGTTTAATAGGAATACAACTTGACATGTAATTTAAAGCCTATGTTAAAAGGGTATGTAAGAAGGGTACTCAGAGTAGCTGGGTGACTTTATGAGATAGTGTCGTCGGTACTAGGGGTGGGACGGATCGGATATCCGAGGTATTTTAAGATATCCGGATCCGGATCCGGATTCGGCGGATCCATAAAATTACTATCCGGATTCAGATCCGGGCCATCCAGATATCCGGGGTCCGGATATCCGGACTAAAACTCGGATACCCGCGGATATCCGGATCCGATTTACTTAAAAAATAAAAATAAAAAACATTAAAAATTAAAAGTTTAGTATTTATTTATTCTATTAAAAAATATTATTTTGGAAAAAGTTAAATTAAAATAATAGAAATTACTAAAAAATTAAGTATTAGTTATATTTAATAAAAATATATAATATACTATATAAATATAATTATATTTTAAATATTTTTTAAAATATTTAGTGGGCCCGGATCCGGATCCGGATATCCGGACCGAAAATTTCACTATCCGGATTCGGATCTGGATTCGCCGGATCTGTGAAATCACTATCCGAATCCGGAGCCCCCGGATATCCGTTTTTTCGGAGCGGATCGGATCGGATCCCAGATCGGATAGCGGATAGCGGATATTAAGTCCCAGCCCTAGTCGGTACGCAGCAGTTGGAGTATCAATGGGACATCTTATAAGATCATTTGGAGGAGAAACGTTCAAGGTAAGCGTGACAACTTTATTCTTAATTAATTAGAATTTGTAATATTTTTCTTCATGTGCTATTTTATCATAAATTATACACAATAAAACTTCACTCAGCATATCATACATACATGTATCTGAAATAATTACCGAAAACTTCAAGCATGGATCTATCACAACTATATTAATGTAATAAAAACTGAAATATACTAGTACACCGTTGATTATAAAGGTGATGGGTCACCCGTCATGGCAATGTAATGTTTATCCGAACAAAAAAATGTATTATTTATCAGGCATGGCCATGAGATTTATGATTGCATTTTTGCATTAAATGTCAACTGAGAAGAAGAACATATCTCTCTTTATAAAATATTCAGAAAGAAGAAATGTGAAGAAATGAAAAAAAGGATGTTTGTATCTTAAACAGAAAAATAAAAGCTTATAGCAGAAAATGGTGAACTTAGCGGTTGCACTAAGATCGTCGATGTGCATGATCGTGAAATCAGCTGGACTTGTTCCATATACCGTAGAAACCGAACCAGGGACGACGGTTAACTTCTGGTTACCTAAAAACTCCGCCGGGAAGCCAACAAAACCAGCAGTATTACTCATTCACGGTTTCGCCGGCGATGGAGTGATGACGTGGGCGTTTCAAGCTCGTTCTTTGTCAAAGAGATACTCTGTTTACATACCGGACTTGCTCTTTTTCGGTGGCTCTTACACCGATAAACCGGACCGATCACCGGACTTTCAAGCCGAGTGTTTGGTTAAGGCTATGTGTATCCTTGGCGTGGATAAGTTTGTCCCAGTGGGGTTTAGCTACGGTGGCGTTGTGGCATTCAAGATTGCGGAGTTGCATGGGGACATGGTTAAGGCTTTGGTGGTAACTGGTGCACCTCCAATTATGACCGATTCGAATGTGAACCGGTTTGGGTTAAGTTCAATGTCGGATGTCTTGTTACCCGAAACGGTTAAAGGACTTGAGTTTCTTCTCTCCGTGACTTTGCATAAACGTATTTGGCTCCCAAGTTGGCCTTTCAAAGATTACCTTAAGGTGCATTCGCTATATATAATTGGGTTTTATATATCCATTTCAGACTTGTTAATTATGTAATTTATCTATCAAAAAGCACAATGTACAAATTTTTGCATCCACACAGACAATGTTCACAAATAGGAAAGAAATGGCTGAACTTTTAGAAGCTCTAATCATCAACGATGACACTACTAGACTCCCCAGTTTCCCTCAGGTAATTTAAAATTATATGGTGTCGGAGTTTTTGTGCATTTAATTTTTTTTTTCTATTCTTTGGTATTTTTAAATGTTGCAATATCTATGACGACCCATCTATGACTAGTAGCACAAAAACGATATTTATGACTATTAATAGAATTTATCAAAATCTGATGGAAAATTACACAGTTCTTATTATATCTACTTTTACTTGTAGAAAATACATCTTTTGTGGGGTGAAAATGATCTATTCTTCAGTGTTGAATTTGCAAAAGATCTGCAAACGTGAGTTTCTACTAATCAGTTTTTATTTGCTTATAATATTTTTAGCTTTATTCATATTCATGAATATTTTCATATTGTAGGAAATTGGGTGAAATGACAAGCATGGAGAGCATAAAGAATGGAGGTCACTTGGTGCAACTGGACAGACCATTTGTCTACAACAAACTTCTCAACAAATTTCTTGCTTCTGTGCATTAAAACAAAGTTTGGGCTTTAGGAAAAGTCACTCGACGAAGATAATGCTTGTCTTGCTGGAAAAGTGTCTCTTAAATTAATAGCCAGAGAATGTATTCATACTTGCCATTTTTCTAATGATCTTGTAAAAATCAAATCGAGGAACGTTCACTGTTGAAAGAAAAAGGTGGTATTCCTGTTTTTTTTGAAAAAATAAAAAGGTGGTACTCTTACAGTGCAATCTTCAGAAACAGGCAAAAGGTGGTGCTTTAGAGCATTTCATTTGTAGATATGAACATTATCAACATACGTTTCCTAACAAATGTAGTATTCTATGGCTTTTCAGCTTCTTAGTTCTTATAAGTTTATTAGGGTCAAAGACAGTTGTCATATATAGTTTATACATGTAACTTACATGTGTGACACATTCATAAGTACATATAAATTTAAGTGATCAGAATCCATTTGCAACTAAAACAAAGCAGTGATATTATTTCATGAGAAAGATCTGAAGTCTTATGCAACAGCTATACGTGCATAACTTCTCCGGTTCTAAAGCTCAGCACTATGGTTTCTTAAATATGCACCGTACTCTCCAGTAGCCTCGGAAGCCTTCTCCTTTGCATTCTCATAAGCTTCTTTTGCCTTCTCCGACATTGAATCCTTTGCTGCACCATACCTTTCCCCAACGTTATACATTGCCTCCTCCAATTTTCCAGAAGCTTCATTCCCTAATCCATACGCGTCTGTTGCTTTGTCTTTACCATAGTCTTTCGGTTTCCCCCCAGTTTCTCTAACGTCATGAGCTTTTTCAAACGTAGCGTCTTTAGCTTTTTTGGACCCTTCTTTTGCTCTTTCGTATGTTCCATAACCCATTTCCTTAGCTTCATCGCTCTTATCCGTAGCCATTCTAATCACATCATCCGCTTTGTCATACACAATGTCCTTAGCTTGGCCGGCCTTGTCATAGGCCATATCTTTGGCCTGACCAGCCTTATCATAGGCCGATCCTGCTTTGTCGAAGGCTATATCTTTGGCTTGACCAGCCTTGTCGAAGGCCATGTCTTTGGCTTGACCAGCCTTGTCATATGCTGATCCGGTCTTGTCGTAGGCCATGTCCTTGGCTTGACCTGCCTTGTCATACGCTGATCCGGCCTTGTCGTAGGCCATGTCCTTGGCTTGACCAGCTTTGTTGTAGGCCATGTCCTTGGCTTGACCAGCTTTGTTGTAGGCCATGTCTTTGGCTTGAGAGGCCTTGTCCTTGGCTTGAGTCGCCTTGTCATAAACCATGTCCTTGGCTTGAGCCGCCTTGTCATAGGCTGATCCTGCTTTGTCGTAGACAATGTCCTTGGCTTGGCCGGCCTTGTCGTAGGCTGATCCTGCTTTGTCGTAGACTATATCCTTGGCTTGACTTGCCTTATCGTATGCTATGTCTTTGGCTTGACCTGCCTTATCGTATGCTATATCTTTGGCTTGACCTGCCTTGTCATATGCTGATCCTGCTTTATCGTAGGCCATGTCCTTGGCTTGACCGGCCTTGTCATAGGCTGATCCTGCGGTATCATAAACCACGTCCTTAGCTTGGGCAGCCTTGTCATATGCTATGTCTTTGGCATGACCGACCTTGTCATAGGCTGATCCAGTCTTGTCAGAAGCCATGTCCTTGGCTCTACCAGCTTTGTCATAAGCCATATCCTTGGCTTGACCCACTTTGTCATAGGCCATATCCTTTGCATCACTGGCCTTCTCATAAGCATAACCTTTTGCATTTTGAGCACTGTCGTAAGCAGAGCCGGCTTTATCAGATACAAAGTCCTTGGCGTGTCCAGCATTGTCATAGGCGGAACCAGCATTGTCATAAGCGTAGTTCTTTGCAGATTCAGCCGCTTCTTTTGCTTCATCTTTCTTGCTTCCCAATCCTCTGATACAGAGAAAAAGAGTCACTGGATCAACAGTATGATTGGATAACATTATCTAATTATTTTATGTATAAATTTCGTCTGAACACCCCCAAAAATAAATCATGCATGCTTTTACATTTATTTTCAAATCTGTATAAACCTATTCGTTTCAACACTGCAGATTATGATCTCATTCAAATAAAACAATGAATAACAAAAATGTATAATCGAATACACTTACGTGGAAATTTTATCAGAAACCCAACCAGTCCAAGATGCGGTTTTGTCCTTGGCATCACGAGTTGCCTTGGCCGCCATGTCTGTAGCGGTTCCAGCTGCGTTTTTAGCATGCTCTGATTCATTTCTGACCACATCCTCTGCTGTTTCTGCTCCCCATCCATGGCATTCTTTCTGCCACGCAAGAACCACCACCAACATGAACAGCATCAACATCAACGTTCTCTTCTCCATTATTGTTGCCATTTTTTAATAATCTAGATTTGTTGTCTAAGTTTTCTAGTGGTTTGCTTCTGGTTCCAATCTCCATGGAAGTTTATAGTAGCGAGAGATTATTCTTTTCTTTCACTAGACAGGCGGTTACTGCTATACACGTGGTTATTGCATATTTACGTGGCGATTGATGAAGCGGTTATGCTGGAAACTAGTGTGTCGTGTATTTGCCACATGTTGACTTCTGGTAGGGCTTGCCGCGTTGGTGTCTCCCGACTCAGAACGGTGTTATGATTCGTAGTTTCTTTTCTTTCGAATTCCAGATTTTAGCCCAAAACAAAAACTCTGAATTCTTTTATTTTCATAAAAAATACAAAACTACATTTTAGTATCTTATAGTTTTAAGAAAAATGTAATCCTCTATATAGAATTTTTGTGGTTGATAAAAATATTATTTATCATCTTTTACATATTTTTTGTTGTGCTGCGAATATAGTATGAACGTTGAACCCATGGTTCGGTGTAACGAAACATTTTTCTTCGTGTCTAGGACTTCTAGGTCAATCTCACAAACTACGAAATTTTAGACGTTTCTAATAACAAAAGTATTTCGATTTATTTAACCAAAAAAGGTATTTAGAAATTTCAGACTTAATTTTTATTCCAGCTCAAAATTTACAATGATTTAAAGAAACTTCTCAAAATTTAAATAAACATTTCATTCTAACGAAGGGTTTCGTGAGAGAAAAAACAATTATTGGACGATGGTGATTGTGATTTAACCACCACTTTCTCTCTAGTGTTGATTTCATTAATTCAATTTCGTGATAGAATCTTCCGATTCTACTTTAACATTATTTCTTGTGTTTTTCTTCTTCTTTATAATGAAGAAAAAATACAAAATTATTTACAGTGTATTAGTATCATCATTCTATTTCTCAATTCGTTGTTATTATCTCTGACATGGAATTCGTGGTCATATTCGTGATCATGATCGACAACAAAACAATCATCATGTTAATGTTTCCAAACTTAAGTGATTTGTCAAGGAAACACTACCCATCAATAAAAATATTATGAATCCAACATGAAGAAAAAGATCTAGAGACAAAAGAAAGAAGTATGATGTTAGCCAGCCATTTCTTTTTTAAAACTTATGTTTTAATACAATATATTTAATATCAAAATATTTATTTGAAATCATGGAATACATCATCTAAGAAAATAATCTCTTTGTTGTATCGCGTTGTATCGCGTTATTCTTATAATCGTTAAAAATTGATCATTTCAATTATTATTTCTTACCATTAAATCAGTACAGTAGATTCTATACCGAAGAATGTTTATAGATCTTAATTAAGACCAATATGTAATACAATAGAACAAATAATCAAACTGTGACAAAAAAATTAAATTCACAGGAAACTATATCATTGTTTAAGTTATTTTATTTGTTGTTTTTCATTGTTTATATGTATTTATGTAATTTGTTTACAATTTAACTAATAAATAAACTTCAGTTGTTAAAAAAAAACTTTCATTCTAAGAAAATTACTCTGATTACTAACAAAAAACTTGAAGTTGAAATAGCTAGATTGGAGTTGAAATAGACAATTATCCACCTTATAAAAAGATGTTCACAATTAACCTCCATTTCGTAAATTTGGGGTTGACTCTTTTTTGGTTATTTTTAGTAGGTATCTTGAGATTTTGTAAGTACTTTATTTTGAATAATTCGTTTTTCAGTCACTTGAACTGTGTAAATGTCTACCACGACTATGCATATTTCAATATAATTTTCTTCTCTCAGTTTTTCAAATCAACATCCTCACGGTAATTTTAAAATGATCTAGTTTTCCGTTATATATGTTTTGTATGAGTCGCAGTTTTGTAGGGAATATATACAAAACATAGGCTGTAAAAGTAAACTAGAAATTTATCCGCATATATTTATAAATAGTTGGTTATATAATATATATTTATGTTTTGTAATTTATATATAGAGTAGAGTGTATTATTTTATAATATATATTTGATATACAATTTTATTATTTGGACATAATATTATATTAAGAAGTTTATAACTTGATGTAACTATATTATTAATATATTAGCCTATTATTTTTTTGCTAATTTATTCTAAAATGAAAAAATACTAAAATTTAATTTTTTTGCATTTGTTTTCTATGAATTATGATTAATTTATAATATTTTATTTTTTAAAAATTAAACTTTTAAATTTTTGTACTTGACTAAATTAAATAAATAATATTATATTTAAAAATTATTTTATATAATATATGCTCTATTGTAATTGACATTTTTTATATTATCAGTAACATCATCAGTTTTAGAATTGTAATTAATTAATTTAAATTAATAAATATAATAATTAAATATATATATATATATATATATATATATAAAGAAATATTTAAAAAAGACTTAATGTTTCTAAACAGTTTACATTTATACTGTTATTCATGTTTCCAAATAATATCAAAAAATTATTCCAGTCTTAATAATATAGATAATGCACAATAATATCTCTCTTTTCAGAGAAAATATAATACTTTATTTTTCTTTTCTTACACGACCTATATATATCACTTGAATGAATAATTCCAAGTCTCCGTCATGGTTCAAATAAGTCGCAATTTTTCGCACTTCAGTAGAATATACAAGGCATGTCATCTAAAATATTACAGAATAAACCATATACCTCATCTTTTTTGAGAAACGTATATATATATACCAGTTACAAAAAAAATATATATATGGCACAAACGAATAATACTAGAGACGGATCAAATTGACAAAAGGTGGACCTCTCATCTTGACTTTTACTTTTGCTTTTTAAACCTATACCAATTTTAAGCTAACTTTTTCTAGCATTTCTTTGATTTAGTATCTTATATATTAAAAGAGAAGTCATGACTTCATTTTATTTGTGATATTTTAAAATGAACCATCTAATAGAACTTATTACATTACATTATTCAATCATTAATAACATTTATTAGATTCACTAATAATATTTATTGGGTTTACTAAAAAAATTAATTGGGCTCATAAAAATTAGATAATCCACTGGATTTATAGATATTATAAAAAAATACATGTTTAAATTAAATTTATATAATTTAATATTGTAATAGTATAAGTTAATTCTTTATATATATTTTTATGTTAATTTTAAAATTATATAGTTTATTTTTAAAAATAACAAAATCATCATTTTCTAACAATAATTAATCTATACTATATAATAATTAATCATCATTTTCGATATATACACATTATATAATATATACCAATTTAGAAATAAAAAAAATATTTATATAAAAATAAATGAAAATAAAAATAATCGCGCGGTTGCGCGGATTGAGATCTAGTTCCTATTATGTCAAGTGTCAACACTATGTTGTTATAGAACAACACGACTATCTCCAACTGAAATAATAAGTGTTCCTCCAATCCTTGCTATACAATCAGAGTGGCATAAAAAGCATCAAGAAAAAAGCAAAACTAAACTGAAATTTATGTATTTATTTTTAACAGCCAAAATTATAAATAATATGCCATAGTATTTAGGAAAATTTTAGAGAAATACACTCAAATAATATCACAATTTGAAAACTACATTATTGTTCAAGTTTTTAGAAACATACACTTATATATATATATATATATACAAATTTACCAATTTGTCCAACTTTAATATTTCTCAATTCCTAATTTATTTTATATTTAAAGTAACGGTTTTTCAAAAACATTGTTTAAAAAACCTTTAGAGTATCTACAAAATATTTTTATAATATCTTAAATTTTTTATTATTTAAAAATATAAAAAAAATTTATGACAGTTTCTTGTCTCTATTTCCATTTCTGATTTTTTTTTCCTAATTTCATAGATGGTTCATCTCATCTCATTAATAGTTTTATTGATTAAAAATCAAATCATTCATCTCTCATTAATATTTTTGTTGATATAAGAATCAAATCATCAGCTCAAACAAATTTATAGGGTTTCCATGTCATGTAAAAGAAAAAGAACATACACGATGTATGATAATCAATGTCTTTTAGTGTTGTTGGAACACATTGATCATATTCAAAGTCAAACAAATTAAACACATATGTGAATATAAATTTAGAACTTGCTTGGTAGGTAATGAATCCTATGAAAAATTAATATTTTGTGAAGAATGCAAAATAAAGAGTTTTGTTTAACAAAAATAAAATAAAATTTATATATACTTCGTGATAAAGTCAAAACAAATCATAATTTGTTATTTATAATACTATTGTTTTGTAAAATTTTAAATGATAAATAACATATTTATTTGAATACATAAATTTATCTTAAACATAAATAATTATATTTTAACTATTGAAATATCTTATCTAGGTAAAAAAAGACAATTCACATTCAAAAAGTGTATTTTTCAAAAAATAAAATAGAAGATGTAATTTTCAAATTTTAAACCGTTAGTGGAGTAATTTACAAATTATCCATAGTATTTATTGCATCTGACTGTAGTCTCGGCCCAAGAACAAGTAGTCTAAATAAATTAAAATTATTTATTTTTATTAATTTAAAAGCTAAATTTTTATTTTTATGATATTAATTTAATTATAGGACTACAAACATATTGTATTTGATTTATGAATGTGGTCTTATGGGTTGTAGAATTCTTTTATTTTCCGTCGCAATGTTTGTTGAAAGTATCAACAGATTGTATGATTTTATTTTGGGGGAATTGCCAAAACCAACCCAAATATTCATTTTAACCCTAAAGGTGTACCTCATATTCAATCAATTGCACACCCAACCTAAAAGGGTGTTAAAACTATTATGTAACCCTTATGAACAAACAAAAAACGAGGAATATATTTTACGATTCTGTCCTTCATAGGTCTACACTTTAAGAAAGAAGTCTACAACTAGGTAGACTTACATTAACGTCTACTGTGTAAACTAATGTAGACTTATTATTTAGTCTACATCTTAATTTAATCAAATAATTTAA